GTTCTTTGCATCCCCTGTGATTTCTACGGCAACCTTTTTGTTGTTCTGTAAGAATGTCGTGTTCTTCAACATGTTTGTATATTTTGTTTGTGATACAGGATGTCAATAATTTGTAGAGTGTTGGAAGACATGTAATTGGTCTGTATTGTGTGGGGTCTGTGGTTTTGTTGTTTTTAGGTTTCATGTAGGTGATGCCCTGAGTAAGAAATTTCGGCATGTCTTGTGGATTGATGATGATGTATGTTAGATGTTTGGCTAGTTCCTGGTGCAGTGATGTAAACTTATTATTATTATTATTATTATTAAACAGACATCAACACCTGTGAGCAAATTTATTTTACATTTAATTTCTTAAAATACATAAAAAATGCATGGCTTGTAATAAAGAATAAACGAACATCATCTTATTTCATAAGTGCTGCAGCACTTATGAGATAACACTTGAACTACAAGCATAAGGAGCACAGCAACTGTGATAAAAATATATAAATAAAGCTTGAAATTAATAGAATATGTAAAAAGTTCACGTCACACCTTACATCTTGTGATGGCACACCGGTTGCAGAACACTGACTTACACAATTAACATCTGCTTTATGTGAAATTTGAGAGGAGGGTGTTTTCTTTCAAGGTCAGGGTAGTACCAGTAAAACTTTATTACTTTAGATTGTCACTGCTGCCCACAATAAGTACTACTATTTCCCTACAATAAGTTAAATGCAGCATGCCAGTCAATCAACAAAAATACTGTGTGTATGTATAATAATCTTGATTATGGAAACTTAATTCTTTGTTTAACATTATTATGATTATAGTTACAGTTTAATACTATATTTTAAATTCATGATAAAAATACCATGATTTAAAATTTAGTATTAAATCCTTTATTATGGTAATTCTTTCAGTTATCATCATACATCATTCATACTTTACCAGAACACTGGCCTTCAGCTATAAGTGATGTAATTTCATCTCTTCAACCACAGAATATTCCTTCTGTCACAGTAATTATTTATCATTATTTTTTATTAATTAACTTAAATTTTGCAAATATAAATTAATTGTTATAAATATTTTTAGCCTCATCAAGCACTGACTATGCTGTTAGAATTACTTACTGTTCTACCTGAAGAGGTTTGTATTGGAAATTAATTTAAAATATTAGTAAAATAACATTTTACTTGTAAAAACTTACATAGAACCATTATTATTACAAAAATAAAGGTTTTTTTTAAATTCAAATAAAAATAATAAAGGACTAAATTTGTTAATAAACTTTGTAATTATTTAATCAAAAATAATGAGAAAATATTAAAAGAAAAATCAATAATTTACAAAATATTTTAATATAAATTAAAATAAATAACATCAGCAATTCATTTTAAATATTACTATTATATAAATAGTAAATATAATATAATTAAAACATGCTATTTTGAAACTAATTCTTAAGTCAAAGGAACACATTTTCTTCTAACCTGTGAATTTTTTTTTTTGCAGATCTTAAAATTTTGTGTTGTTTCAAATATTTATATATATATATATTTTTTTTTCTGTCTTTTTTACCTTAAGAGAAAATTTTGATATATTCTTTTAATTAATATACTGCTCTGATGTCTGTTCTTGCCTGAAGATATCCCATTAACTGGGTTGAAAATGTTAGCATTTCTTCAATCTTACTTTTGCTGTTAAAGATGTTTTGCTTGCTTCATTGTGTTCTTGATGAACTGTATTATTTGATAGAAAAATGAAAACGTTAATGAAATGTAAATGTTCTGAAAATTAAATTTTAGATTAATTTTTTTGTAAATAATTATTAATAGTTTTCAGTTGATCCATAAGATACCTTATTCAATTATAATTTGAAGGATTGTATAAGAAGAATTAAAATTAAAATATTAAGTAAAATTCTATTTATATTAGTTATTTTATTTTTCATTGAGTTGTTTTCATTATTTTTATTCTTAAAAATATTGTCAATGATAATGAGAAAAAACTAAAATAATAGATTTTTATCTATTACTTAAAATTGACATGTGAAACTATCATACATTTTTAGAAATACATTAAACTTCTGCTAAGGGCTATTTCACACTATGACTGATTGGATTGACTCCAAGTCCTGTTGCATGGAAACAGCAGTCAGACAGATTTAAAAAGTTAAATACTTGTAGTAGGGTCGGAGCAGTCGGTGAGCTATAGACAATGAGAGCTTCAAAACTACAACCAATCAGACATTGGATATATGAAAACTATCAAATCAATCAGACATGAGTTTACATTATATATATTTCTAATTTATATATATTAAAAAACATTATCGATGTAATGAGAAAAGATGGTAATATTTGGACTTTTCGGAAGAATTTATAAACGAAGTAAGATCATATCTGCAAAGTTTAACCAGGTAGATTACAAAAATATTTTAAAAAATTAGAAAAACTTAAAATGATTTCTAACACCCATTCTGATTGGTCTTTATGAATTAGCCACCAACATATAATCATACTCAATGTGAATGCTTTTACTATTAGTCTGATTATAGGATCGGTTGGGTCGGTCATAGTGTGAAATAGTCCTGACTCAGACTAATAGAATGAAATTTGTCAGAGTTTATGAAAGTACAAGTTAGTAAGATGTTTTCTCTAAAGATATGGAAAATGAGAAGGTGAATTTACCTTACTTCTGGACAGGTTGCCTGGGACCATTGCTGAGAGGATCCAGCTTGTACAAGAAAGTTTTGTCCAGAGCCTCAAAAGTCAACAAATCATGCCAGCTTAGAATTGCACATTGTGCAACCAAAAATCTGGCATATTCTATGCAAATGTCTTTAAGTGAAACCATAATCAGAATCTTAATTTCCAATTCTGCATGCATTTCCAACAGCTACTAGTAGAAGATATGTTTGCTAAAAAGATGGTTTTTAGCAATGATGCAACATTTTACATCTGTGGCATGGTAGATTGTCAAAATGTAAGCATTTATGTATAAATGGGACACAGAATTTCTTTGTGTAACAGTGGAACATATCCATAATTTTTTAAAATTAAATTTGTGTTGTTTCCTCTTCCAACATCTACAATCTATTTTTATTTGTGGAGCAAACTTTTTCTGGTACCACATATTGAAATGTGCTGAAACAGTGACTAATGCCACAATTAGAGGACAGTATCAAAGACTTCATTTTCAACAAGATGGAGCTTTATCACACTTTCAGATGTTTGCTATCACCTTCATGCTGAACTTCCAGGTCATTGGATTGGATGTGTTGTCATGATGACTTTCCTCCTCTTCTGTGGCCTCCATGATCATCTGATCTAACCCTATATGATTTTTTCTTATGGAATTACATCAAAGATCATGTTTATATGCCCCCTAGCCATGTGATTTAGCACAGTTGTGAGAAAGTATCATCCATGCAGTAAATGGTATTGACAGTGAGATGTTGGAACATGTATTGGAGAGATTCTCTGCTTATTTATATGAACCATTCTGCTGTGTCTGCTTTGGTTATTATGCTATCAAGTACCAAAATACTGGAGGGACTTATGAATAATCCTGTATATTTGTTAAAATTGTAGTCATTCAGCAAATCAGTATATTTGTTAAAATTGTAGTAAAAAATTCAACAATTCAGTGTTAAATTGCTGAATTTTTGATGATGATGATATTAATTTATTAATTTCAAACTGGCTGAAAATGTTAAAGTGAATAAAAAAGCTGCATTTTTAAAGGTTTTGTGTTGAGGTGTGAGTTAAATTGCTGGATTTTTGTTGTTAATTTATTGATGCTTATTCAGTTATGTGGTGATTTTATAAAATATAAAATTGAATTCAAATAGTGTCTAAATAAATATTTTCTTGTTAATAATATAAAGTATTTATATATAATAATTTAAATGGTCTAATAAATAATTTCAGTTTCAGACTATGCATATGCCTTGCTCTCAAAGAGGAGTTGTCCGAAATGCCTTGCAGTCATCTGTACCACAAATATTAGGCTTAGTTCAAGAAATTTTTTATCAGACAGATGAAGTAACAAATATTCATCAAATGGCATTAAAATGCTATTCAAGTTGGTCTCAGTTGGATCCTTGTGTCTTAGAATATGAACCATTGTTATTAAGTACTTTAAAATTAGTTTATAATGAAGAACTTTGTCAAACAGCTTTAGAAGCACTGACAAATGTTGTTATTCATCCAGAATCTCATAAGTAAGTATTAATGAAAAATATATTTTTTTTAATCTTATTGTACTTTTTGCTATGATAGTTTGGACTAAATTTTNGACATTATCTTATATAATTTCATCCATTTGTTTACAAATGCATTAATATTATGGAGTTATTACTTAGTAATTTAAGCTATTTCAAAAAACTGTTGGTTGGTGTGTACTTAATGAAAACAATAAAAATATTACAAAATTACATTCAAAGCAAGACCTGAAAATAATGTATGAAAAAAGCTTCAAAAAGAATTACTGTGAATTTTATCTAGAGGTTCTGTGCATCTAGTTCTATGAAGAATTCACCATCTTCAGTTTGAAATTATGAAAATCATGTGATCTGATGAAACAAGCTCTAATGGCTAAATCTATAAGTATGCATTCTATTGTGAATACACACGTGTATTTAATGGCTTTGGAATTATTGAAATTATAGCTTTTTGCTGGTCATTGGACCAGATAATGACTGCATTTTTTTTTTTTTTCAATGCATATTTCAAATTATTCTAACTAAAATATATGCAAAACCCTATTCTCTTGCTGGGGACTAGACTTGACTTCAAATTATCTGGTATCTAAATAACAAGGTTTTACTTCAACTCAATCAGTGAAAAAAATAATGATGGCAATAAAATCAAATAATTGATATGTAAAGAAATGTGAAATGACAGTGTTTCAATTTTAAGCTATGTTAAGTCTATGGTACTTGTCTGCTTATGCATAATGGATATCATCTTTTTTATACAGCACAACAAGAGAACTTTGAAAACCTCCAGCAAGTAACTTTCATATATGAAAGAATGTGGACAAATATTTTTGATTTGTAAATAAATCAGCCTGTTGAAAATTTTTGAATGATTTTTTTTTTTCGTAAACTGATCAAACATTTACAAATGAAATTCTTCACACTCTTATAACATTGAGAAATTATTATTGTACATTTGAAGAATCTGGTGAAGTAGAAAAAAATTTCAAAAAAAATTAAAATTCTCAAGAGATTTCAAAGTTTGTGTTAACATCCTGAATAATTATCATTTAAAAATAAATTGATTGTATTGATTCATAATAATCTTAAATTGCTCAAATAGAAAGTCTTACTATTCCTTAATAATAATATTTGCTTTCTAAACTCTTACTGAGAATAATGGTGTGCAAAAATTGCTAAGTAAGAAATTGATAGTTTCCTTTTAATAATACAATAATAATAATAATAGTAACATATTTTTGTAGATTATCTGGTATGTCAGTCTACCTGAGGGAGACCATGATATGAGTTATTTCTTTATGGTAAAAACTGGCATGTTTGTTTATCCTGAACAATGCTGGCATGCCAGTTTATGTGAGGTTATATGTCACTCTCCAGAGAGTGTGTAAAAACAAAAAACAAAGTTATGTCGCATGACATCTCATATACACCAATTTTTATTCTAAAATTGTGAAATTTCTGCATTTTTTCTTCTTTCTAACAATGTAAAATACTTGTGAGATGCTGAAAGTGGTTTTTTTATGTTTATTTTATTGTAATTTGATTCAAAATTGCAAAAATAAATATATCAAATTTCAGAAACTCACACCAGTGTTCCGCAAGCTTTTTCTATTCACGGCAAACCCATGACTCAACATGTCTCAACACGGCACACCAAAATGTTATTCCCTTTAAAAGCATATGATATGATACTATTAATAGAATTACGTAATACCACTAACCTATTATTATTATTGTTGTGTTTTGTGAGTTATACTTGGTTTACACCGGTGGCTGTGTACTATGCCGGACCAGAGTCAAGGCATAGCAACCAAAACAAAACTAAAATTAAATAAGTGTGTCAGTGTGTATGTCTGCATTCAGGAATTTCCTAACAATATGGCATGTATTCAATATAGTGGCCTTCTGTAGTGTAATGTATGTATTTCTATTCAATTGTAATGTTCCCAGGCTTTTGTGTAGTGTGTGTGTGGTATCACACCTGTACAGGAGAGAACAACAGGGACAATAAGCGCCCTTTCCATCCTCCACACATGCCTTGTTTCCTGGGCGAGTTCTGTGTACTTGCTAATTTTTTCAGTGAATGTGTTTTGTACATTGTGAGTGTTTGGAATGGATATGTCTATAATGTATGTGATTTTATTGTGTTTGTCAATGAGTGTGATGTCTGGTCTGTTGTGGTAAATTGTTTTATCTGTGATTATGGCTCTGTCATAGTACAATTTGTGCGTGTTGTTTTCCAGTACGGTCTGTGGAATGTATTTGTAGTATGGTTTGTGCATGTCTAATAATTTGTGTTTGTTTGCAAGCTCTTGGTGTATTATATTTGCTACTTGATTATGTCTATCTAAATAATCTGTCTGTGCCAAGAGCTTGCACCCAGATGTAATGTGTTGTATAGTTTCTGGCATGATGTGACATTTGTGAGTTTTGTATCTTTGAGTATATGTTTTCTGTAGTTTTTAGTATGACCTAATCCTGTATGGCAATCATGAATCCTTCTGTCTCCCCAAAGAGGCATCCCCGATCTAACCAGCTGTTTGATGCAGTTTTGTCAACAAAATCCTGGGCCAGATCGTAAGGATGCCTGCCATGGAGTGCCTTTCGAGCCCACGATTGCTTGATGGTGTCTATGCTTTTTATGTGTTGTGTCATGTCTGTATGATGTGAGTGTAAATTTAATGGTATGTTATTTGAGTCTGCTAGCATTACTGCTTTATGTAATTGTGATGTTTCTTGTTTCCTGTAGAAAAACTCTCGCAGTGACTGTGTTTGTTTGTAGTGAAGGTTTATAATGTCAATCAGGCGACATCCGTCATCTTTACATGGAAGGGTTAATCTTTCTGTGGCGGATTTAGGATGATGTTTCAAATGCATGATGAACTCAGGATATTTTTCTTCCAAATTATAATTAGAAGTTCAGACTATTTACAAAAAATTAATTTTTGAGTCTATCAATTCTTCCTTTTCACACACCATAGAAGTACACCTTTTACATTTGTTTGAAGAAATCACTTCATTAAAAACAATTAACAATAGGTAAAAATTACATTATTAAAAATGATCAGACGTCAGCCTTTCATTATAGGTTCTGACGCCTATAACATTAAAAATCAAAGTAAATCTTCACACCAAACTGTCAAGTTTTATACACTTTGTATCAGGTTCAAGCCCTCTAGTGGTGGATACGAGTTATCTTTAATTTTACTTTATGGTAATTTTACTTTATAATTAATCTTTACTTCTATGGTGTGTGAAAAGGAAGAATTGATAGACTCAAAAATTAATTTTTTGTAAATAGTCTGAACTTCTAATTATAATTTGGTAGGATGATGTTGTTTATGCTTAGTAAGTGTTGTTCTTGTTTTCCTTTGGAGTTGCTCGAGATCTGTGTGAGTCCAATGTATAACTCCAAAAGAGTATGTGAGTACTGGGANAATATATAAATAAAGCTTGAAATTAATAGAATATGTAAAAAGTTCACGTCACACCTTACATCTTGTGATGGCACACCGGTTGCAGAACACTGACTTACACAATTAACATCTGCTTTATGTGAAATTTGAGAGGAGGGTGTTTTCTTTCAAGGTCAGGGTAGTACCAGTAAAACTTTATTACTTTAGATTGTCACTGCTGCCCACAATAAGTACTACTATTTCCCTACAATAAGTTAAATGCAGCATGCCAGTCAATCAACAAAAATACTGTGTGTATGTATAATAATCTTGATTATGGAAACTTAATTCTTTGTTTAACATTATTATGATTATAGTTACAGTTTAATACTATATTTTAAATTCATGATAAAAATACCATGATTTAAAATTTAGTATTAAATCCTTTATTATGGTAATTCTTTCAGTTATCATCATACATCATTCATACTTTACCAGAACACTGGCCTTCAGCTATAAGTGATGTAATTTCATCTCTTCAACCACAGAATATTCCTTCTGTCACAGTAATTATTTATCATTATTTTTTATTAATTAACTTAAATTTTGCAAATATAAATTAATTGTTATAAATATTTTTAGCCTCATCAAGCACTGACTATGCTGTTAGAATTACTTACTGTTCTACCTGAAGAGGTTTGTATTGGAAATTAATTTAAAATATTAGTAAAATAACATTTTACTTGTAAAAACTTACATAGAACCATTATTATTACAAAAATAAAGGTTTTTTTTAAATTCAAATAAAAATAATAAAGGACTAAATTTGTTAATAAACTTTGTAATTATTTAATCAAAAATAATGAGAAAATATTAAAAGAAAAATCAATAATTTACAAAATATTTTAATATAAATTAAAATAAATAACATCAGCAATTCATTTTAAATATTACTATTATATAAATAGTAAATATAATATAATTAAAACATGCTATTTTGAAACTAATTCTTAAGTCAAAGGAACACATTTTCTTCTAACCTGTGAATTTTTTTTTTTGCAGATCTTAAAATTTTGTGTTGTTTCAAATATTTATATATATATATATTTTTTTTTCTGTCTTTTTTACCTTAAGAGAAAATTTTGATATATTCTTTTAATTAATATACTGCTCTGATGTCTGTTCTTGCCTGAAGATATCCCATTAACTGGGTTGAAAATGTTAGCATTTCTTCAATCTTACTTTTGCTGTTAAAGATGTTTTGCTTGCTTCATTGTGTTCTTGATGAACTGTATTATTTGATAGAAAAATGAAAACGTTAATGAAATGTAAATGTTCTGAAAATTAAATTTTAGATTAATTTTTTTGTAAATAATTATTAATAGTTTTCAGTTGATCCATAAGATACCTTATTCAATTATAATTTGAAGGATTGTATAAGAAGAATTAAAATTAAAATATTAAGTAAAATTCTATTTATATTAGTTATTTTATTTTTCATTGAGTTGTTTTCATTATTTTTATTCTTAAAAATATTGTCAATGATAATGAGAAAAAACTAAAATAATAGATTTTTATCTATTACTTAAAATTGACATGTGAAACTAT